CCCTCTGGGGGAAAAACCTTTCCTGAGATCCAAGCCAACCCTGCCCCGACTCAGCTCCAGCCGTTCCCTCAGCCCTGTCCCTGGGCACCAGAGTGAAGAGGTTCCCACAGCCCCAGCCAGGGACCCGCTCCCAAGGGHGTTGCCATGGCAACCAGGGCTGGGACCAGCTGGGATGCTCGGTTTCCATGGGCTGGGGTTTAGGAATGGTTTTCCCCAATTTTGTGCTCCCGCTAGAACAGCGCTTCCACTCGCTCCAGTCCCTCTCTGATGGAAAGCATGGAAGGCAAAGATCCCGGACTGAAATAAGAACAATTTACTGGGAACAGCAAYGAGATAAGGAACCAACAGGAACGGCAACAATATTGATAACAGAAGGGATAACAACAAACAATTTACAGGGAAAACTGCAACAGAACCAATGGGCTCCTCCCGACCACATATTTTCTCCTGCCCTGAAAGAACATCCTTCTTCCCTCAAGAGAGAGAAGGAGTCCCTTTTCCTGTCCCTGGCAGTTACCTGAGGTGGCATCAGATATAACGACAGCGGCATGGCCAGACCCTCATGTTCTTCCATCCCATCTCACATCAGTCGCAGCAGCAGAGAAAGGGACAGGTGTCAGGATCACTGGGAATGTGGGTCACCAGGGCTCTTCCCAAACTTGGTCCTGCGATGGAGGATGAAGTTGGAGCACAGGATGAAGCATTTCATGCAGTCGGGGCACTCACAGGGCTTCCCTTACTGGTGCCTCCGTTGGTGTTGGATCAAGTGAGACCTACAGTAGAAGCTCTTCCCACACTCAGGACACTCATAGGGCCTCTCCCCAGTGTGGATGCGCTGGTGGGTGACGAGGTGGGAGTTTTGCTTGAAGCCCTTCCCGCAGTCGGGGCAGTGGAAGGGCCTCTCATACCTGTGAATCCGCTGGTGCCTGAGGAGATCTGAGCTGGTCTTAAACCTCTTCCCACACGGAGAACACTCATAGGGCCTCTCCCCAGTGTGGATGCGCTGGTGGGAGATGAGGTGGGAGCTCTGACTGAAGCTCTTCCCACATTCCCCACACTCGTAGGGCCTCTCCCCAGTGTGGATGCGCTGGTGGGAGATGAGGTTGGAGCTCTGACTGAAGGTCTTCCCACATTCATCACACTGGTAGGGCCTCTCCCCAGTGTGGGTGTGATGGTGCCTTATCAGATGGGACTTCTCTCTGAAGCTCTTCCCACATTCCCCACACTCGTAGGGCCATTCCCCAGTGTGGCTCCTCAGGTGGACAATCAGACTCGA